ATTAACTAGTTTTTAGAAATTGTGGTTTGTGGATGGTTTGCGCATGATATTGGTATGTGTATGATTGACATGACCGTTGTCTACTATGATTACATTTAATGAAAACTTCCACTTTTTCCTTATAATCAACTTTTCCTGAGCCACCATAATCTTTTTACTAGACCGATAAACAATCAAGCTCTTATTCCACTCGTTGTTTGTTCCTACACTCTATATAGGTATTGAATTGTAAGTTTTAACTATAAGTAGCAATTAAACACTGATATTATGGCAGTAACTAATATTATAGGCCTAATATACTTTTATTATACGACAAGGCTGTCCATCTGCAAAATGGAGCATTTTGATCTTTTTTAATATTTGCAACATTTTGATTGGTTCCTGAGCGGTTGTTAAGCTGCAGTACGGACCGTTCGCTGATCTCATATAGCATAACCGCGACGATGGACCGCTCGCGAAGAAAAACTTATATAGATAACTCTTTTCCCAGTAAAAGACTATAAATATGTGGCCTTTTTTGTGTTAAAACGTTGTTCATGCACATGTAAAACACGCTTTTTATAACACTTAAAATGCTGACAGAGTGATAATTAATACTTGCCGCCAAATGAACGGCCTTTTTGGCGAACTAAAGTGAAAATGGACTAAACAAATCCGTGTTCTGTTTTTGACTCTTAATATGTTGCTATCGTTTTGTCTCTGACAAAATCCTGCGTTTTCAAATGTTCGAATATAGAGCTGTAAACAACTTAATTTTCGACTTAATTTATAAACATTGATTTTGGAAGAATTCCCTTGTTTTTAGCCATATAATAAATAACTTATTGACCGGAGCTTGTTCCGTCCGGACAGTACGATATCAGTCTCGTTTATACGTCTCGAATTATAACACTTCATTTTATATAATATACTGACAGGGAATCCATGCACCAACAGGAATCCGGGAATCTGCATATATATGAAAGAAAGCCAACATGGACTTCTTAATTTAATACACTATTACTTTGCCTCTGGCAAACCTCACTGCAACAGCGATGATTGAAATACGTCGTCGACGCTTTATATGTAATTTTTTTCTTGAGTATATAATCCGGTTATGTTGGTATATATTTCGTGTGTGGCACGACATATGCTAAAACCTGGACGATGGACGACGGACCATTTCAACTCTTTTAATTTGATCTATATTTAATATAGGTATCTGTTGTATCTGTATGCTGTAAAACAGCATTTTTCATGTCTTGATGTCAGTGCTCGAAGCATAGAGAAAAAATATGACCTGCCATGCAGTCTAAACTTTTTAGGCAGGTGAAATACATTTTAGCCTGCATGCCATTTTTATATTCATTGAACTGCCAAAATGTAGGGGTTTCCACAAGTTGCTCGAAATTCTGATAATATAGTTGCTCAAAAAAGGAAGAAAAGTTGCCTAAAAGTTGCCCATTTTCCCCCAAAAGTTGCTAGTTTTCAAGAAAGTTGCTTAAAAGATGCTACTTTAATTGCGCTGCCAAGTGCTGCTATTTTAACTTTTGAGCAATTTTGATCATGAAACAAATTTTGAGTTTGAAACAATTTTTTCATAAACATGAACCATGAAACAATTTTTTAATATATTACTTCATATATAGATTACAGTTCTATGTAATCGAATATAAAATCCGACGTAATGTAAAAACAATTGTGATAATGTCAAATACCAACTTTTGTGCCGTAAATATATATAGTGTTATTAGGATGTTCTTTCACAATTTAAAACGTTACTGAGCTTTTTAGCTCAGTAACGTTTGAGCTGACGGTCATATGTTTGAATTTCGAGAAACCAAAAGTACAATAACTCCGGTATTAATTCCCCTAGAGGCTAAACTACCGAGTATTAAATACCGATAAAGAGATATTGAGATTGACTGGACTTGGAGAGCTAAAATTGTTTATTATTATCCTAATATGGCCAACCATATTTTTACACAAAATAAAGTAAACTCAAAATTGCTAAACAAAGTTACAAAGGTGTCAAATTCATAAAAAGTTGCTCGAAGTTAGTAACGTTTAAAACGTTCCCGCTTAAAATAAAAGTTGCTCAAAAAACAAAAAGTTGCCAAAAAGTTGCCGAGCAACTTGTGGAAACCCCTACCAAAATGGCGATGTCTCATATATATGAGTCACATTGTAAAATTCAATGTTTTCATATGAAATGGCTATACAATTTCACCTGCCATTTTTTTTACTTGGCTGTTCAAATTTGTTTTTGCCTGCGATTTCTAAAATTTATATGGGACAGGCCTGCTTTTGGCCATTGGCAGCCCGCTATTTCGAGCACTGCTTGAAGTGCAAAAATCGTCTTTTCAACACCACTTCATTTGAGAATTCCCACTGAATTTGTCATAATGCTAGAATCTCGCTTTCCCAAGTGCCGTCATGCAGAGATTGGTGTCCGGTTGTGCCATATATATATATATTTTCATCTTCATAAAGAGTATTATTTTCACACAATTAATTACAGTAATCTCTAACGGTCTATTCCCAGTTTAGGTAATGAAGATACCAGCTAGGAAGCTGCGAATTGATAGAGATTCAAGTACCTGAAAATATAAGCAGAACTTTGACATTTCGACGAAGGGCCTTCGCTCGAAAGTACTCTGTACGTATATGTATAGCTATAGAAGACTCTGATGAGTGATGTGCGAAATGCCATTGAGTATATATTAACTATTGTGAGCCTAATGGCTTACTTCATGTCCAGCTTTCAAGCGATGCCCTTCTTAAAGTTTCTTGATATTCAAGAGGCTTAATTTGCAAAGGCTACAAAACACTGCTGCCAGATTAGTCGTCAGAGAAAGGAAATCTGCGCATATAACACCGGTACTTTCTAATCTCCACTGGCTTCCTGTGCAACAACGAGTGACTTTCAAACTCCTTTTGGTGACCTATAAAGCTCTTAATGGCATTGCCCCTTCATACATCACCGATCTACTTCGTCGTCATATCCCTGCCCGTACTTTGCGCTCCAGCAGTCAAAATTTGTTAACTGTGCCTAGAGTGCGAACAGAGACATATGGCGAGAAGTCTTTTTCCTGCACTGCTCCGAGACTCTGGAACAATCTTCCTGACTCTATTAAGCAAAGTCCAACTATCGATGAGTTTAAGGCAAAGTTGAAAACATATCTTTTTAGGATAGCTTTTACTGAATAACTGTTTTTTGATTTATAGATTCTTGTTGTAAAAAGTATTGAGACTCATGTATAATGCGTTTTAAAGAACTATTATATATATATATATATATATATATATTTATATATATATATATATATATATATATATATATATATATATATATATATATATATATATATATATATATATATATATATATATATATATACTTGTATTAATTAATATAGCGTCCTGACATTGGCTGACAATAGCACTGATCCCGTCTGATATCGAAAATAGCAGGCCGAAAGCAACGGCAAAGTTGAGATGTTTAAAAAATCCCTGATGCTATTTAGAAAAGACGTTAATTTCGCAATTTCCGAGCGTAGTGTTTTTTTTGTGCTGAATACAAAGGACAGATTATATATAGAATCAGCTGGATTTGAATCCGTCTATACGAGTCTGTGACTCTTATGTTGGGCCAGTACCTATCGCTATACGCCCAATATATACAAATACCTGACTCGCGAATTGACAAAAATTTAACAGCATATAATTGCTGAACAATAAGTAATGAGTAACAAAAAAATGCTAAACGAGTACCGGTAATACAATTCCCCGCAAGTTGTTTGTGGAGTAAAAAGCAAAACGGCACATCTACTGTAATTGAGGGAAACAACAAACTAAAAAATTATGTGAAAAAAAGACAGTAAACTTATCATTGCGGGCATTGTGGGGGTTTTTCGGAATGTTTCGCCGATCTTTTCCAGGAAATGTCGACACCGACGTTACTTTAGAAAATTTTATAATTCATGGATCTTTTAAGCCACACCTGGAATAACCCCGGAAACATTTCACACCCTGGGCAGATTATGTGGTGCCATCCTTTGTGCCATGCATGGTATCCGGATTGGCAATTTAAAATGAGAATTAAATTTTCCGTGTCATTTTAACAAATTATTACATTGACCTAGACGCACTGTAAAAAACACTCATGAAAGGTCATACAATGTCAAATTTATCTTAATTTAATCAAATATACTTAAAGTCATATGCACCATTGTCATATGCAATATATCATCTTACAGGGTTCGTCCACTAATTTGAAGCTACAGATGAATTTTAAGGATATTTAACGGTACTAATAATACACATGAAAAAGTTTCTCAATTCTGATTAGCTAAGAGCAGTGCACCTTTTTCGAAATACAGTGCCAAAAAGTGAAATACAGTGCAAAAAAATGAAATACAGTGCAAAAAAATGAAATACAGTGCAAAAAGTGAAAATAATACAAAAAAACCCAAACAGAGTGACAAAATTTTCTAATAAGGGACCGGTCATAAAGTATTTACTAGGGGGTGTGGAGGATCACTCAAGGCATTAGAACTTGATCAACCTGATGAGGAAGTGTCACATTGAATGGAAGCAAATTGTTTCTATTTGAAATAAACCAAAAACATTTTTTTCTGTTTGTTCTAACTCTCAGCCCATCGCTAGTATGTCAGAATCAGAAAAGACTGGTGACGAATCAGAGACTGCGGAAAATGTTGAGGATATGGTTACCACTACAAGAAGTGGGAGAGTTATCAGAAACTGGAGAGTTTCGAAATATAGATAAACGCAAGACAAATGTTAAAACAGAATTAATGAAGGGGGGATATGAAAATTTTCACTTACATCGAACTAATCGAAGGGGGTTACGAAAATTTTTCCATAGGTTTGAAATTTCATTTATCCTCCACCCCCCTCTAGTAATTACTTTATGACCGGTCCCTAAAAGAATGTGACCTACGCATGACATGACTGCATAATTTTTTCAAGTACATTATTAATAAGTAATAGTGTGGATAATAAAATACATGGATAGGAAACTAGCTGACGTGACCTAATGTTTTCAATGGGATGATGGCGTTGAAACCTAGTTGCAAACCAAATTCTCAAAAACGGCATGTTTAGCGATACAAATACAGCTAAACATTTTAGTCAAAGAGCAAATAAATATAACTAGGCCATTCTACGATGAAATCTCTAAGTATTCCCGGTCAATTTTAGCAAATATTTCAAGCACCAAACAGTGAAAAATGCATCGCAAATTTCGTTAAAATAGGCGACGCCAATTTCGTAGCTACAGTACAAATGTAAAAAAATACAAAACAAAGACGAAAAACATTAACCTTGAATACTTTGTCGTGGCTTAGGCATGTTTTTAAAACAATTAGACCAGTTTATGCTTCAATATTACTCTTTTAAAGCGGAAAATATAGCGAAACAACAAAAATGCTGAGAACTTTGGCACATGGGCGGATTTACTGGGGGGTTAGGGAGGTTAACACCCCCCCCCCCCGGAATCTCTCTAACCCCTCTAATAAAGTGTTCAACCCCACCAAAATTTCGCTTCACCCTTCCTATTTTGTGTGAAAGGCTTTAACCCAAACGCCTAACCCCTGGCAAAGGTCACTTAGTGGTGCCGTTTGCACCCCACCAGAATTTTTTCTACCCCTCCTTTCAAAAATATGAAAATCCGCCCTTGCTTTGGCAATACACGTGACGTCACAGATTGCAACTAGGTTTAGACTGTGACGTCAGGAAGTTTCCTATCCAGTTATTTTACAATCCATGGTAATAGTACGGTTTCTCGTGGAATTTGGAAAAACATATACACTCGTGAGTTTTCAAGGACTTCAAATTGCACTCATCCTTCGGACTCGTGCAATTTTGATCGTCTTAGAAAACTCACTCATGCATGTTTTCTTCCCAAATTGCACTCGAAACCGCATTATTATTACCTATACAAATACTTAATAAATTTTAGAGACCAATTACCAGGAATTGTAGGACATTGAACAGAAGTCATTGTGTTATGTTTTCGTCTGAGTTTATGTTAATTTGTGAACGGTCACAGTATTTGAGCTCATTGACATTGTATTTTCGTAAAAATAATTGACCGTCCAACACTACAGGGATAGCTGTGATAAAACGTGAGCGGTCAGGAAACTTCCACAATTTCTTTCTTCTAGATTTTTTTACATAAACTTTATGTAGGTGTTTTCCCCAAAAGCCTAGGCCTAATTTACACCCAAAATTTCCACCTACAAAATCCTACAACAATTAGTTATATCAAGTGAGATGCCCCAAATCCTTATATATACTGTATAACTGTCATCTACTCATCTAGTCTCCCAGAATGCAGGATTTTTCCAACTTCTTCCCAGAGGAGAATGCACCTGGATCCACCTAATGCACTTAGTAAAAAATCATGAAGGTCCCAAAATTATATTTTGTCCCAGACACAGATACTGTACAGTAGTACATCTCTGGGCACCTCTGCTTGCTTTTTTTTGCAAACATTTTATTGGAAGTACAAAACTATCTCTTTCATATAGTTTTTTTTTATATCTTACTTTGTAATAACCTGAGTTACACTTATACTCATTATTGAAATAACCTAAACCTAATACTTTTCTAAGCCCGGATTTTGTCTGATTTATTCACACACCGAATGATTGTTTTAAATGTTCCGAGAACATTTTAGCAAACATGCAAATCTTTGCATACAAAGAGTGCTCTCGTGCTAGTGCTCTCCCCTTGACCAGTAAAATCACATAGCATTAAACTGAGTAAAATGATAAAGTAGGGTGCAATGCAACTTAATGGGTTAATAGGTTACAGTAAGGTCAAGAAAAATTGACAAGTTTTTCCCTAGACAAGGAGACTTGTTCAAATGCTAGTGATCTGGTCATGCCAGCTTTTAAATTAACCCTTTAAGTGGCAAATGCAAACAGATGCGCCCTACTTTATTATTTTACTCTGTCTGCCAAACAGTTTTACTCGTCAGGAGGAGAGTGCTGCCAATGGGTTAATCAGAGATCAGACTATCTGTCTATGCATCCTGTTAACCCTTTGAGGGCCCAGATGTGGCCTACTTTATCATTTTACTCTGTCTAACAGCACACCATTTTACTCCTCAGGGGGAACTGTTTGTATAAATACATTTGTGCTGTCATGTTGTAAATGCGGACAGTACTCACATTTTTAAACTTGCATGCAACCAAATTGTTACCCTGAGAGCAGAGTCTCATTTCTCCTTGCAGAGAAAATAAGGCTCTGCCTTTTTTGGGTTTTGTTCGTCCAAAATTCTGGACGAAGTAAACCGGTAATAAACCAGTTCTAACCAGTAATAAACCAGTTCTAACCTGTTTTAAATGTGCACGCCTTCATTTTGCAAGTAAACCAATGACTACTATTTGAGCCTGCTATATATATATACAATATTTAAAACTTTATACTTTATAACCGAAATTTGGCTGACAATAACTTGAATATACTGAAAAGTAATGTAGCAAGTTAGCAATTGTAAAAATATAATAATTATAGTTTGATTTCACAACTGACAAGTGACAAAGCTATCGATTTGAAAATGTTTTTGTATTGTTTACATATACAGTATTGTCGTAATTGTACAGCATGTGCCAAGCATGAAGCAATAACTGCATGCAATTGGTTCTCTAAATTTAGCAGTCATTCCAAAAATACAAGTGATCTTTTGACATGTTTTGACATAATATAGGAAACAGAGCCATGTTCGACAGAAATTAACCCATTGAGCTGCAATGGGCCCCAGTGCACCCTACTTATTATTTTTACTTGTCTAACGCCAGACAATTTTACTTGTCAATGGGGAAGCTCTGCGGCTTATTGTGTTAACCAAAAAATCTGACAATGTCCCTAGTTAACCCATTGAGCCGCAATGCACCCCAGTGCGCCCTACTTACTGTATTTTTTTTTACTTGTCTAATGCCAGAATATTTTACTCTACTGGAAAGTTAACTTTTTGCATGCCGGACATCAAATCAGGTACATGCATGTAAATGTACCCCAATTTTGGAAATATAAATGTGCAAATGTTCCAAATACACCTTTTTAGCATAAACCTGTTTGGTCTAAATTTGTAAATTCAAATTACTATGTAAAAATGAACGCAATATGTACACCAAAGTTTGTGTTTGGACCAAACAGTTTGGTGAACATATTACATATTGGTGTACATAATACAACACACTTTATATTACAGTCTTGCAGTCCAGGAGAAAATTTGACCTCAACTGACTGTACAGTATGTGACTGGGCCTATGGACTGGGCACAGAGTGCACTCATCTTTGCGTGGCCATTGCTATTAAATGTTGTTTATTTTGAAATAAAACTAATTGTCAAGTGTGGTATTGTAGACATTGAAAGTTTCAGCTTGTTTTTATATTAGCTTTGTTGTGAACAGCTTTGAAATTGTTCACATACTTGATTAAATAGCATTTTAATAGGGATGTTAAAACGGGCTATTCCATTTAATATCCGTACCCCCCCTGTCGAGGATACATGTTTTTCATAGTTATACCCCTGAAGAATTCCAAGCTCAAAATCCTTTACCCCTGAAGAATTCCAAGCTCAAAACACTCTACCCCTGAAGAATTCCAAACTCAAAACACTTTACCCCTGAAGAATTCCAAACTCTGAAAAATTTCGATCTCAAACCTCTTTACCCCTGAAGAATTCCAAGCTCGAATCCTCTACCCCTGAAGAATTCCAAACTCAAAACACTTTACCCCTGAAGAATTCCAAACTCAAAATCCTTTACCCCTTAAGAATTCCAAGCTCAAAACACTGTACCCCTGAAGAATTCCAAACTCAAAATCCTTTACCCCTGAAGAATTCCAAGCTCAAAATCCTTTACCCCTGAAGAATTCCAAACTCAAAATCCTTTACCCCTGAAGAATTCCAGGCTCAAAATCCTTTACCCCTGAAGAATTCCAAACTCAAAATCCTTTACCCCTTAAGAATTCCAAGCTCAAAACACTGTACCCCTGAAGAATTCCAAACTCAAAACACTGGACCCCTGAAGAATTCCAAACTCAAAATCCTTTACCCCTGAAGAATTCCAAGCCCAAAATCCTTTACCACTGAAGAATTCCAAGCTCAAAATCCTTTACCCCTGAAGAATTCCAGGCTCAAAATCCTTTACCCCTGAAGAATTCCAAGCTCAAAACACTCTACCCCTGAAGAATTCCAGGTATCCTCGACAGGGGGGTACGGATATTAAATGGAATAGCCCATTGTCGGTTGTTGACGGTAGTTGTCGGTAATTAATGTACGACCCTTTAAATTAAGTGGAAGTCAAGTCCCGAAGTCCGTAATGTACAAACGGTTTGTTTACATTTTGAACTGCTGTATTTTTTAAAATATGATGTACTGTCTGAATATCTAACACCATTTTGGTTCGCTATGCTTCTAAATGAATATGAAATAGAGTTTATGTTCAGAAAAATTCGAAACATGGGCAATGTTTACATTCAGAGGTCTGCAGAACGGACTTGACTTCCCCTTTAAACTTTATATTTACCGAAAAGTGAAAACCCTTTAAAAACTTACCATTAAGACAGGCTGTTCTTTCATTCAAGCGTTGTCTCTTTATCCATGGTCGAATTGCCAGTACAGCGATGTAGCGAAATTTCCGGCCGTCTTTCACAACAAATAACATCACAATATAAAGTCAATATAAACTGCACGTATTTTTCTCTTTACCATAGAATCGTTTTCCCTGTCCATTGAGTTACAATTTCCAAAACTAAGCAGTCGTTATAACGTAAAATAAGCGGGTATTTGTGAACAAAAATGCCCTTTGACGACACGAAGTAAACCGTCGCCATCTTGTCTTCTCCAAACCACAGAATAGGAAGTTATACCAGAAGCGTAACTCTAGTCGTTTC